TTATTAGTTTTAAAGTTTTTAGTGGATTTTCTATATATGATGTCATATAACCAGCAAATAGAAAGTTTTATGTCTTAGTCCCTTTGAGCTGCCACAACAGACTACCATAAACCGAGTGGCTTATAAGTAACACAAATGTATTTCCCACAGTTCTGGAGACTGGGAAGTCCAAGATCAAGGCACCGGTAGGTTTGGTGTCTGGTCGGGGCCTACTTCTGGGTTCGCAGATAGCTGTCTTCTCACTGTGTCCGCCATAGTGAAAGGAAGGGGCTCAGGGTCTTTCTAAGGCTTCGTTTATAAGGACACTAATCCAATTTAGGAAGGCTCTGACCTCATAACCTAATCTCCCAAAGGCTTCACTTCCAAATGCCATCACCTGGGGAGTAAGAATTTCAACACTGGGCGGGGCACAGATATTCAACACAGCATTTTACTTCTTCCTTTCTAATATGGGTGCCCTTAACGTCTTTTTCTTACCTAATTGCCCTGCCAGAGCCTTCCGGACAGTGTTGAATGGTAGCGGGGAGTGTTCACCCCACGTTACTCCTGATTGCAGGGGAAGAGCTACCTGGCTTTCACCACTGAACACCACATTAGCTGGGGTATTTTTGTCAGTGCTGTTTATCAGGTGGAGGCAGGTCCTTTCCATTTCTAGTGAGTTCAATACTTCTTTATGAGAGAAGAGTGTGAGCTTTTGTTTGGGTGCTTCCCCTGCGTCTGTTGAGATGATCGTATGGTTTCTGTCCCTTATTCTATGGATATGGCGTATTTATTACCTTGGTTGCTTTTTGGGTGTTGATAATATCCAAACACTTCTGCCACCCCTTTTAATAGAAAGTGGTACAACTCCCCAACCTGCCTGTGCGTGTCTGCCCAACACGAGTGCCAGTGGCCGACTCCCTGCTAGAGTGAGCACTGCACAAACAGCCTCTGCTTGTCCTCATTTGAGTGATCTTCACGTATTCCACGAGAAATCAAGGCACAGGGGTCTCATGAATGGCTCCGCCAACCGAAGGTGTACTCCACTGGGGCTGTGAGTCACCTCACACCAGGGGGAAAGGTCTCTGTCAAACATGGCTTCAAGGAGCCAGGGACCTGGTGCCTCCCACAGGCCAGGCCCTGCCCCCCAAGTGCAATGGGAATATATGCACATGTCACCTGTCCCAAAATGCTGGGAAATAGTACTTCTGCAGATGGGGAATCTGAGGGACCAGCCTGAAGTCACAGGGACGGGAAGACTCCTACACAAGCCCAGCCGGGCTGTAAACGCCTGCCCTTCCTCAACGTGCCGCCGGCTGTGCCCACATTGCTCCAGTAGCTCCACCTTCCCCAGGCATAAGCCTTCTCAGGGGCAAGCCTGGGCAGGGCAGGCCCAGGGAGTGGTGCTCCCATCCCAGGCTGGGCTGCTGGGCAAGCCCCTCCCCTTTCTCCCCCTCATCCTCTGACAGAGTCCACCTGGATATTTGTCCTGGAGCCAGGATGGAAGCTCCACCAGGCCCAGCCAACAACAGGAACCCTTTCAGACGCACTCCTGGGTGCCTACTGTCCCAGTATCACACAGACACAAGCATGTCAGCCATGGGATCCCCAAGGTCCCCATGAGGTCACACCAATGGGCCACTGGGAAGGGCACTTCAGATGTGGTGCTCCCACGACCCAGGCCCTGTGAAGTGGTCCTCCTACCTCCTCGTAGCCAGTCCTCCCTGTGAGCCTGCAAGTGCCTGTGAACGTGAGTTCCACTCTGGAGCTGAGACAGGCTGCTGCCCCTGCAATCAGAAGTCAGGCCCATGAAGCCCTCCATCACCTCACTGCAGTCAGAATAAAATGCAGCCCTCCTCTGGCCTCCAGGTCCCAAGGCCAGCCCCCCTGCCTCCCAGGCTTGCACCTGCCCCTGACCTGTGTCCAGCATCTTTCCCCTGGCTCTGTCCGCTCTGAGGCCCTTGCTTTGCTTGTGTTCCTCTAGCCTCACCGGTCTGCCTGGAGTGCTCCTCCCCGGCTCCGCCTGGCTGACTCCTTCTCAGGCATCAGGGCCTGGATCCATCATGGCTCTTCCAAGCCTCTGCACTTGGAGTGCCCCAGCCCCGTGGTTGAGAAGTGCCCCAACCCCGTGACCCTCTAGCAAGCATCCTAGGAATTCCCTCCCTCCCCAGCACTGATATGACCATCGTGCTGTGACACCTGTCATCTCCGCCAGAGCGGCAGGTCCTCAAGGAGAGGGGTCTGCTGCCTGGCTCCCACACCCAGGGCCTGGAACAGTGCCTGGCACACAGCAGGCACCCACTAAATATTTGATGCATGGCTGAAGAGGACAGGCAGGCTGGCTGCTGGCCGGGCATGGCCTGCTTCTGAGGCTGGTGGTCAAGGACACAGTGTGCACAGATCTGCCCCTCCTCCCACTTCCTGAGAGTGGAGTCAGCGTCTCCCTCCACCCAACTCCCCCTGCTGAGGACACAGCCCACACCTTTAGCGGGAAATGTCCCCATCACTGGGAACAGCAGGGAGCTGATGGGAGAGCAGGTGTCCAGGACATCCAGAGAAATGTCTCCTCACACTGGAACCCTTGTCTATTCCCTTCTAAACAAAAAGAACCCTTCAAGGCTTTTCAGTGGCCCTTTTGTTTTTTTTTTTTTTATGTCACTTTGACAGGCACAAAATGTAAAACCAGGCATAAATTCGTGCTTGTAGTTCTTATGCAGGCATGAAGCCAAAACCAGTTTACAAACTAACCACCCAGAAAACTGGTAGAGCACAGATGATTACAACAGAGCTGTTCTGTCCAATGTGAGCGCTACTGGCCACCCAGGGCCATGTGAATTTAAATTACAATGAAACACAATGAAAAATTCGGTTCCTTGTGGCCACATTTCCAGTACCCAGTAGTCATTTGTGCCAGGGGTTATCCAGCTACAGAACATTCCCATCATTGCAGAAGGTTCTATCAGTTAGCACTGGATTGGACGACATTTGCTAAGACGAGCTAGCTAGAGCACGGTTCTCCGGACCTGGTTCCATGTGGTTCCCAGGTAAGCTCCCGCCCAAGACGCAGCCCTGTTGTCCATCAATTTTCTTGGAGAGGGCATGGGAAACCTTTGTCGGTGTGTCATCTCCTGCGAAGGCCTTCACTCCTTCCTCTGGGCAGGAAGCACCCCTCACTCTGAATCATTAGCCCAAAGCAGTAAGTGCAGCGGGCCTGGCCCCACACCTACAGGAAGAGCCACAGCGTGAGGCTGGCATCCCTGGGGCA